TATACATTACATATACTGAATTAAACCAGGATCAGGAAGATAGATTTTAAACATCAAATTAGAGAATGTTCAGTAGGGAACTGGCATCTAATAATCAATTGACTTTAACTTCTTAGCATATTTCTAGTTTAGTTTTATAGACCCAGGCTATTACAGAGGGGCAACCAACCATAAAAATTGCTGTGGTTGGGGCTCTTGTTACACTTTGAATGAGTTAACTGCTCTAATTATAAATAAAGTCTATACTATAATCAGCTATGCAGTAAGTAATAAATTCAAATAGCATTTCCCATTAAACATCTAGTGTGTCTATACTTGGCAAGGTGCCAAATACTATAAGGATCTAGGATACTTAGAAACATAGATTTACATGATACATAGTTGCTTCTGTCTGAAGGTTCAAAAAGACCATTGAGGGTAACTTCTCATACCTACAAATTGAAAGGCTAATGCCTGTCCACTTTACAGGAACACTGAGCGAATTTATGGTTATAAATTCTTATAATCATCCCACTAGTGACTCTCTATATTTTTTTTAAAAAAATCAAGCTTTACTGAGATATATTATAATAAAATTTTAGGTGTGCAGATTGATGAGTTATGAAAAATACATTGCCACAATCAACATACAGAATACTTAAACCATTTCCAGAACTTACCTCATGCCCCTTTGCAGTCAGTGCCCAACCTGAGGCTCTGGTAACCACCCATGGCTCTCTGTCACTATAATTTAAGTTTGGTACATTCTAGAATTTCATATAAATTGAATCATACAGAATGTATTTTTTTCTCTTTTCAGAATATACTTTTCTCTGTTTATTTTTTCTTACAACATAATGCTTTTGAGATTCTTCCATGTTTCTGAATGTACTGTTTGTTCCTTACTTTTCATTGCCAAGTAGCATTCCAATACACAGATGTAATTTCTCATTCATTCCTATATAGATGACCATTTGATCACTCACATGCAGCTGTACATCTGAGTTTTGCTTTTTGGTTATTTTTTTTAAATAAATTTTATTTTTATATTCCCCACACAATTGCAACCCCCTTATTTTGACCCCAATCCCTCCCCTCCCCACCCCCCATAGAGTGTCTCTGGTTCATAGCTTTTTTGTTGATTTCGATTTTCACTTTCTTATAGTTATTCATTTTCCTGGTCCCTTATTTAAGTTTTCTAGATTCCTGCTATGAGTGAGACCATCCGGTATTTTTCTTTTCCTTTCTGGCTTATTTTGCTGAGCAAGATCCCTTCCAGCTCCATCCACGTTGCTGCAAATTGCATGTGTTTATCTTTTTTGAATGCTGAGTAATATTCCATGGTGTATATGTACCACATCTTCTTGATCCAGTCACCTATTTTTGGGCATTTGGGTTGTTTCCAAAGCTTAGCTATTGTAAACAGTGCTGCTATAAACATAGGGGTGCAGATGCTCTTTAGAATTGATATTTCTGTGTCCTTTGGGGCAATACCTAGGAGTGGAATTGCTGGATCATATGGATGCTTTTTGGTTATTATAAGTAAGACTTATAAAGCTCTGTATATAAACTTTTATGTGTACATAGGTTATTTCTCTTGGGTAAATGCTTAGGAACAGAGTTGCTGAGTCATGTAAGTACACATTTGATTTTATTAAAAACTGTCAAATTGTTTACCAAAGCAGTTAAATCACTAGAAAAGTATGAGCTCAAATTGCTCCACATGCTTGTCAACACTTGATACTGACAGCCTTTTCAATTTTAGCCATGGCATATGTGTGTCTGCGGCAGGGGATAGGGTACAGACCAATGCTTCAAGAGTATTAATCAACAAAAGCATCTTAACACAGGAACACATGCATGTCATTCAAGAAGTCATCAGGAAGACCTATTAGAAACACTCAAATCCTATCCTAATTCTCCATGAATGAACTAGAGAGATTATTTCTCTTTACAAAACTACCACTATGTAAACTTTAAAGGAAGATTATTTTATTTATTTTGCTTCAGCACCTTTTTATATATTCAGTGGATATATAACCCACTCTGAAATAACAAATCTATGATCACGGCTGCTACCTCTCTGATTATAAATCCTGCCAGATATTGGCTAGGGGGTGGGGAGGTGCAATTCACACACAGAAACATTTGTAAAGACACTGGATATAAAACACCTATGTGTAGATGCATATGCTGGCAAGTTTTTACAGTTAGGACATTCTTCCTTTGAAAAAAAATAGCACCTATGCTGTTTGAAAGTGGTTAAAAATTATTTGCAGACATTGCCTAATTTGGATAATTTTTTCCCATTCAAAATGGATAGCTGGTTTTCATTAACTAAAACACAAGAGTTGAAAAAACTTTTTCTGGCCTCCTGAGAGTATAGGTGGTTCATAGGCAAATCAGGAAGGAGGCCATAACTCAGGGCTCAACTTACACTTCGCAGACGCCTATGTGAGTTGAGCCAGAGTAGGCATCCTTAGAGCAGGAGAAAAGAGAAACTTGAAATCCATTTAGTCTTTCAATGAAGCTCCTATCCCCTCTGCCTGGAATGCACTCTATACCCACACACCACCTTTCACAACAAGTGAGGCCCTATTTTTTTTGCAGCTCTGGAATTTTGCAACCAGGTCAAATTCTCCTCAAACATGCTTTCACTTCATTCTATTTTTTCTTGTTCACCTTTTCAGTTGAAAACTATGTTTAGAGAGTAACTCATTAGGCCTTCCCTGGTGGTGCAGCAGTTGAGCACTGGGCTGCGAAGCTGCCCACAGCCTCTGCAGCGCCAGTTTGATCCCCGGCCACCGGCGAGGGTCCCACATGGCCCGCAGACCTCTCCTGACATGCCCACTGCTCCCCTCAGCAGTGTATTTCATCAGTCTGCCTATTCTGTTCCCCGCTCTGGCTCTGGTGAATGCTCTCACCATCCTGCGCTTCTGACTGTACCAGGTGCTTGTATAAATAAATAAATAAAATCTTTAGAGAGTAACTTATTAATGTCTATTGCTCTACCCAATGAAGCAAGCTTCTTGAGTCTTCTCATAACTAGAGTACTCACCATGTAAAAAGCACTTTATAAATATTTACTAATTAGTTACTGAAACATTACCTTATCAGAGATGTGACTTATATGGCTCTAAACTTCACATAACTTAGAAAATGAATGTGGCTGCTTCTTTCTCAATTTTAATATAAACCAAAGTGCAAAAAACTTGGGTGTCAGTTGTCTGACCTTCTCCTACCCCATTTCCACTTAACGATCAGATCTATTTTATCAAACTATCCTCTCAAAATTCAGAACCAGGATAAGGATGAAAACTTGCAGAATAAAAGATTTTCCTACATGAGAAAAAGCAATCTCTTTCTTCCAGATGTTAAGTCTGAAGGTCTTGGTAATTTGTAAAGGATATGCAGTTATCAGCTAAGGTCACTACCTTCTATGGGATGCAAAATGGTAATACTATTTCGCTGAGATGAGGTAGAGTCCCCATGTCACTCCTGCAGATGTCATGATCAGTCACACTGACAACAGCAGATACCAAAATGCAAACAAACCACCCTCTTTTTCAGTTACAGGTGTGTACAGGTACAACTCAAGGGACTTCCAGACTGCCTACCATTTCTTCAACTACCCATCTTCCAGAAATTTCAATGAAATATTAATAGCATAGAGCTAAATAAGATTCCAATCACTATGTGTCCATGTTCAGCCCATCTTCAGCTCAGTCCAAACACAAAATTTATTGTTATGCATTCTACTCATTATGGATGCAAGCAAAAACTCTAGAATCTAAATTTAAGACTCCAAGAATATTTAAGATTTTAAAACCTGAATCTCATTAACAAAATATAAAGAAGATAATAGGAAAGACTACTTCTTTATTTCACTTAGTCATTAGATATAAATTGAGCCCCCATTAAATGTCAAGTACAGCCCCACATACTAAAGAAGAGTAAGTGTCCTCTAGTAATAGCCAAATTTTATTAACCTAATTCCTATCTGGGATTAAGAAAGAAAGACCGATATTTCCAGGTCAATTTTGTCATACCTTTAAATAAAGCCTTCTTCTAATCACTGAAAAAAGCATTCTTACCAAAGGGTTATGTTCTTATTTTATTTTAAATTAAAACACTCTTGTTGCTATTTTCCATGTTCTTTCTGGGGGAAAAAAGTCATCTCCACTCCGAAATAAATTCTGAAAAAATTTAAAATGGTTAGAGGGTTAATTTCTGAAAAAAAGGCTAAAAATGGATCCAAGGAAAAAAATTTATCCCTGACTCATAGCTGAAAGAAATAAGATGAATTAAGGAAAGCTTACTTCTTCCATTGCCCAGTTACAAAAAAAATTATAAAAATTATTATAAATGCCCCAGGTGTTCATATGAGCAATATCCCTCACATCATGGAAAACTTATCCAAATTTCATCTCAAAAAACTTGGTATGAATCCACAGTAAATCCCACAGATCTCCTACAATCACAAACAGAAAGAGAAAGAATAATCCAACAAAAGTCTAAGCTTAATAGAACAGATGCCTGTTTCTGACAAGGAACAGCTGTCAGGCAAAACAGTGATTTATGAACTGAGTCTACTTTCTCACATTCCATAAGGTGTCGATATTTATCTGGAGACAAACCATTACTGACTATTGGCAACAGTTAAGGAAAAGAAAAGTCAATGAAACAAAGGCTGCTAGTAATGACAATGATCCAAATACCAGCTATAATTCTGAAACACAAACCCCACAGGAGTAACCCACTTTCTGCCTGCATCCTAGTGAAAGAAAGCACGATAAATAAGTGTCTGCCAAAGCCTTCACAGAAGCTCTTCACAAACTAAAAAATACAGTAAAATTGAACTTCATGATCTTTCCCATACAAGGCAACCTCAAAAGTACTAAGCAAGTAAATGAGGCTCACAGGAGATCACAGGGAAATAGGAAAGGAGAGAGAAACAGCAAAGGTATCCAACACCAGCATATGCAACCCTGCTTGAAAGATTAATATCTGATTCTCCTTACCTGACAGGCAGATGTAGGTTGAATATTCGCCTTGACCCCCAGTTGCCAAAAAAGGAATCTTTTTCTTAGTCCTCCTCTTGACTTGTACAGCTCCCAGCATCCTTTCATCAAGGGGTGCAAAAATTTCCTTGCTGATGGCAGATTTGGCACTCATTGTAGAACAAGTGAGGAGGGCACACAGCGAGGTTTCTAAAGAAGAAAAGGAAGTTGGAATTGACAATCCTGTAAGGACCCATGTAAGAATGATCCCAGGTCTGATGCATGCAGCATAGGAGGGGCAGGGGAAGGAAGAACACAGCAGAATAAGGCGATAGCGTATGGGTGATATGGTGGCAAGAGAACTATGGGGACTACACCAATGTAAGGGAAAAAATTAATTAATCAATTAATTGATTAATAAAAAAAGAATGATCATTAAGTTGATTTGCTGGTGAAATAATTTTCGATATGTTGTTTAACTTCTCCCTTGATTCAAATGCATTGTAGGGTCATTATGAGTGAAAGAAAAGTGCCTGGTGAGTTTTCCATCTTCAGGTGAGTTGGAGACGTCCTGACCCTGCCCCCTCAAGCAGATAGCTGCAAAATGTGGCCGCCCAAGGAATGCAGGATCCCTCTGTCTATCTGGAAATCTCTGAGTAAAACCAAGCCAAGGTTCACTGAGATAACATAAAACAGGCCAAATGGCCCCAGAAGGAACAAACAAAAAGAGTTTAATGTGTCTATATTACCAACTGTGGAAAGGAATTTAGGCAACCTCCGGACAAGATTGTAACTCCCTAGGACTCCATTAGTAATGAGGAAAGAGGGAAGGGACTTTGGTACTAGAGTATTAAAACTAAATAATAATGTACTTTGCATGCTGGCCTGTGGGCAGACACCCGCCCTGCGGGGCATTCAGTAAAGTCTCACTTCCTGCTGCACTCAAAATCACTGTGCCCGTCCTTGGCCTTGGGGAAAGTGAAGTTACTTCTCACAATAAGCAATATCTTTACATTTACAATAACTATGAAAAAAATACCAACAACAGGAAAATAACTGATTTGCCTGCTGGAAATGTCAAACGCAATGTAAGGTGAACATGAAGTGGGATCTAGGACGTTTGTCCATCTTTCCCTCAACAGTACCTAACTCTTAAGTAGCAACAGCATCCACTGCTGTTCCCACCATAAGGAGTGTGATTTCACATCTCCAGTTGAGAAGTCTGTCCACTGCCCACTAACCCTTTTGCTCCTTTAAAATCTCCTTTAGGGCCTCCTTGGTGGTGCAAGGGGTTAAGACGCAGCACTATGAAACTATCCACAGCCACTGCAGCATGAGTTCAATGCCCAGCCAGGGAGCTACCCACATGGCACAGCAGACCTCTCCTGTCTCTCCCACTGCTCCCCTCAGCAACGTATTTCGGTCAGTCTGCCTGTTTTGTTCCCCACTCTGTCTCTGGTGGATCCTCTCACCACAACCCCTCTCCCCCGCATCTCTGGCCTGTACCCCAGCTCTTGTATGCATAAATAAATAAATCTTTAATAAAATAAAATCTACTTTAGCTCTAACGTAAATCCATTTCCCTAAGTCTCTTCACAATGGAAATAATTATAATCTTCTACATAACTATAGATGCACAGAGAATCATTAATTTAAACACCCTTTCAGCTGCTTTCCATCAGTCTAAGCAATTAATCCTTATTTATTAGCCTCTTTCACTAGGTCTTACTTCCCACTGTTCCTCTGCCTCTAGTGGCCATGCTGTGAACCTTTGCCAAATTCTCCACATTTTCCTTCAGCCAAAGTGGACACAGAATTCTGAAGTGGCTGACTAATGCTAAGTATTTTGGAAATGCTACCCAGCAGTTCCCACAAGTTACACTCCTGTGGTTAACTGGCAGCGTGCGCCCGGTAATTAAGAAGATAAAGCGGTATGTTGCTGACTCACAATGAGCCCCCCCCACCCCAACACCACAAACACAGAGAGACACAATCCCTATGTTATATTTAGTTTTCCGAAAGTTGCACTTCTCCACTGATTTTAATTCTGCTTGGTTGTGTCTGTTATGCTCAAGGTCAACCTGAATTTGAACTCTACTGTCTAAAAGCTCAACAGCAACTTGAATCAAAATCATCTATTTCATCACCCTAGTCACAGTCTCTACCTTCATCAGTAACCAGCATTTGTTCAAGCAATTCACAAATCAAGACTAAGGGCACAGAAAGGCCTATGGCTGCTCCATGTATTCAGGGGCCTTAAAAGTGGATTTGCAGACAGCTACACATGATAATAGCAGCTCAAAGAGTTAATGAGCCTGCTAGAAAATGAGCCAATTGCCAAGCAAACCTACTACATGCTATCACTATGCTCAGTATTGTAGATATAAGAGAAAATTAATATGTGGTCCCCGTTCTCCAGTAGATGTGGTACTAACTAAGGACATTGGTGGTTTCCCCTAAAAATGCAGGCGATTTATAACAGGCCACAGGTGTCCAGAGCCCATCCTTCTCAGTGCACAATTCATAGAGGATACCAACACAACTCTCTACTTAAAACTGGTCTCTGGGGCCTCCCCTGGTGGCGCAGCAGGTGAGCGCTGGGCTGCGAAGCTGCCCACAGCCTCTGCAGCGCCAGTTCGATCTCTGGCCACTGGCGAGGGTCCCACATGGCACGCAGACCTCTCCTGCTGCGCTCACTGCTCCCCTCAGCAGTGTATTTCGTCGGTCTGCCTGTTCGGTTCCCCGCTCTGGCTCTGGTGAATTCTCTCACCCTCCCGCGCTTCTGACTGTACCCAGTGCTTTAAAAACAAAAACAAACAAACAAAAAAACAGGTCTCTGGTTTTTTCCTGACCTCATGGAGGAAAGATATGTTAAAAAAAGAAAAAGCATCCCCTGGTTAAAGAAATGTCTCCTATTTTCAAGTGTGCAATAGAATAGGTTTTCTTAAGTGATGCCAACAGTGAAGTATAAAAGTGTTGGCTGTATTATTGACCTGTACCCATATCTACATATTGCAGCTCTCACCCAAGTCTATTTTTCTCTGATCAAGACATTTCATCACTGCAACTAGATTCTTCACAGCAACGTTTTTGGGAAACCTATATTTCCATGTGTTTACTGATACACTACGATTTTCTAGATGTTAGCAGACAAAATTTCCCCCACCCTGATTTATCCCACCACTTTCTAGGCAGGGTATTATAATTGACAGGGACATTTTTTTACAAAGAGAGAGAAACATACTAGTCCTTGTCCAGGTCCAAGGCCTCTCACCTCTTACTATTTGGGGACATGTGAAAAATAGAGCTGGTGGTAGTGCAGTGGCTTTGAACATTCTATAAGCAATATAGAAGAAAGAATTTTTTCTCTTGATTCAGCCAAGCAGTTTTATCAGGTCTTACATCCCATTGCGGGTAGACTCGTCTGGCCCATGGCTGAGATGCCACCGTAAGGAGGCCACAGCAGGGATGCACCAAGGTTCGCAGCTCTGCTGACCTTCACCACCCAGACCCATCAGCAGCCTTTGGCCAGCGTCTTCCAAACAATGCTCAGGCTTTTGCCCTCCCAAGTAAGATGAACATATTTCTAAAGTTGCGGTTAAAAGGAACACTTAATGATTTTATTGCATAAAAGCTTTGAGGAAAAAAGGTGGGTTCATAAGTATTTTACCAGCTCTTAGGAAATCCCGTTCTCTTTTGAAAAACTGGTAAAAAATGGAAATGACCTTTTATTGTTGTTTTTATACTAATATTCAGTGGTCAAGAACCAAAAAAAAAAAAAAAAAATAGAAATGAAAAAACCAGTACATTCATTCAGCACAAGTTTGGAAATAAACCGAGTTAGGCACTTAAGACCTTTGCGTAACAAGTGGTAAATCTCTTAAAATTCTAGACCTTCAGTTTATTAAGGTGACATGGAGGTATCTTCACCTGCCTTGTGGACTGTTGAAAGAATTAAGTGAAACAATGCATGTAAATCATTAATCCTAGTGCCTGAATCATAATAAATGCTGACAAATCAAAAAATTTTTATCAACTCTCTTACAACATGAAAAATAAAAGGCCCTTTTAACTTGTAGAAATGGAGCAAATGTAGCAAGCCATACTACAAGTTACTTATAAAAGAGAAACTCAACTTTCCCAAATCCTCATTTTTCTCATCCATGAGTATAAAACCCTCTAAATGATATACAAATCATTCTATACTGTTATAAGGATGAGGAATTTAAATATAGGTTTCACCCTTAAAAACTTACTAGTAGTAGATTTGATTCTATGAGAAACTCTCAAAAACTACTGCATTCACTTGTGTGTATTGTTTTGTTTTGTTTTTTTTCCATTTCACAAGGGCAGGAATTTTATTAGGAGAAAGAGACTCCTGCATAGACACAGTCAGGCAGTTTTGAGACAAGACCCATGTTTTGCCAGAACAAAGTATATTCTTATAGTGTTCTCTGAGGGGATTCATTTCTTTGTGGAATTTTATCTATTGTGAAATCTATCACTTCTAAGGTATGGTCAGATTATAATATATTATCTGTAAGGACTTGTTTCCTTATAATGACCAACAATTCTCCACATCCCCACCTTCAGTCTGCACCGATCTTCCATAGCAATAGTAATGACTATGCATTTGTGCATGTTTTTAATGCTACCTTGGAAATGGGGGTGCACAGCTGATTAGAAGGGAAAAGAATAGGAACGTAAAGTGGGTACCTGTATAGCAATAATCTTTATGAGTGTTACCCAAAAGTAACTGCCCATCTGAATTCAATATGGAGTCTCAATGCAGATTCCTGGGCCATTACATTCACTAAATAAAAATGTTGGCATGTGCATTGTAGACAACCCTCCTACTGGTTCTCGGGCTGCCATTCTTGACACCAATTTAAAAGCCAATAGCCTAAAGAGGAATATGGGGATGGAAGGAAATACATTCACAGAAGAGATCCAGAAAGAGTTTGTAAAGGATTTTTTCTCTTGAATCAGCCAAGTAGCCCTATAAGGTCTTACAAGTCACTGTCAGTAAACTAATGCCCAGCCCAGGGCTGGAACTCCACTGGAAGGAAACCAGATGATTACAATAGCAAGGGTGTGCCAATGACTCCAGCTGTGCTAACCTCTATCATCCGGGTGAGTAGAAGGACCTGCCACCCCAAAATATGGGGCTTCAGCATTATTATTTTGAGCAGAGGGTAACTGAAAAACAA